GAGATATCTGATTTCTTTCGCATGAAAATATTATTTTCGTTTTGCTTGTTCGATCATTGACTATGATATATTAATGAGATACATGATTTTTTTTCCCATAAAAATATCATCGTCGTTCTGCTCGTTCTATTACTCATCGTTCGAACAGCTTGAAGGTTGCAAAATAGAGTGAATCGAAGGTAGAAAAAGTGTGTACTATAACACTACTTTACTTGGTTTTTTGACATCGTTGCACAGTATCAACAAAATATTAGCATTTCACAAGCAATACTATACTGCTGAATAGCATGATCCTAGCTGAAGCAAGTCTGAAATGTTCCTTCCCGCATATGCAAGAAGATATATCGTTTTCGATATTACTTCAAGAAGTTTTTCGTGTTTGTGACCATGAATTTTGCCAAAGATCGAGAACTGGATGCATTTCTGGGCTCAGTAACAATATTAGTTCTCTTCTAGAATCATTCTTGGTGCAGCATCGACCCGACTCTTAGTTTCAATAGATGTCGCAGTCACAATCAGCGTTCACGTCTTTCATCTCTTCGCCGTATATACCTTTGTTCCGATTACGATTGCTATTCCCATCATGGTTCTCATTTATGCTGCACTCCAAGTCGTCATTCTTCTACTAATCTGAATCGGTATTCAATTTCAGACATGACTTACAGTCCATGTCGTATAATTGGCTACATTATCGACTTCAAACATAATTCCAAGATCTATTGTGCTAGTTGTGTGCAAAATAAGCTCCGCCATATCTTTAGGATGTGGGTTAATACAACCTGCAACTATATCCACAACCAGTCTCCACACACCCACACCCACACACCCTGCTCGAGTGACACATACACAAACTACCTTAACCAATGGAAAAGTATTAGTCACTGGTGGTTATTGTTGTAGTACTTACCTCAATAGTGCTGAACTGTATTACTCATCGTAGGCACATACGTCAAGGACAATTCCTGTGCTATCAAGCAATAATGTCACCTAACACTTCATACTTGTTTTTCAGATTTTTTTAATCTTAATAAACAGAAATTGCATTCCCGAAAAATTTCGGTTAGTCATTGAGAAGCGACTGATTAGGAAGTAAAAACATAGTTATAAGAAAGATCCTTAGTGCCCTGGACGAGCCGATTAGATTCGCATTGATGCTTTTCGAATAAACAGAGGGTGTGAGTGTGGGTGTAAGGTGTGGGTGGGTGTGGATGTGGGTGTGGGTGTGGGTGTGGTTGTGAGTGTGTGGATGTGGGGGTGGGTATAGGGTGGGGGTGTGGGTGTGAGATGACACTGAAGTGACCCACCTCCACACCTACATCCACCCACCCACATCCACACTCACGCTCACACTCTCAGTATACTATCGAACGGGTGATTCGAGACAAACAGCCGTTAGTAATTTGTCTAGGATCATTCTATGTCTCGTGGTGCCGAGGCTCGAACAGGGTACGGTGGTACTACATGCCGAACAACTTACTCAGTCAGCCATAGCGGCTGTTGGATTACGGTAAAACAATGATGTGTGTTCGAATATACGCACGTTTTGTTTTTCAATTTGATTGAAACTTCTAATAAAGACACACTCTAAAAAAAAGTATATTCAGAAAGCAACTAAAATAGCTTTCGAAAATTCCTTTTTTTTAGAGTACGGAGCATCAGTTCAGCAGAATACACTGCCCTGTTCTATTCGGTCGATCCAATAGATTAGGACAGGACAGAGTAAGGTGCGAAAATCTCACTCTGTGAATACCTTTAATAACTAGACTAACAAAATCGAAAAAAAATGCTTTTTTTTCTCACAACGTGGTAGAAGCCTACGGTTTTATCCAGCATTACTTTTTAACCTTTTCAGAAAGTACATCAATTTAAAACTGTCAACAATTGTTTTTTTTTCTGACTTTTATATCTTATAGACAATTTGAATAAATAGTATCCTGCATGATTAAGTTCTATCGTTGACGTATTTAATTACATAAAATAAGTTTAATACTTTATTTCTCGCTCTAAGTGATTGTAATATAAGATTTATTAGGGTTTTTTTTTGATAAGTTTTCATTTGAACAGTAAATTCTCATTTTTATTCCAAATGCCCTTTTTGTTAAACTTTATCAAACAATTTTGTCCGAAATCAAAATGAAAACAAGTTGATACATTTTTACAATTTAACTGAAAACTGAAAAAATTAAAGAAAAAGAATTTCTTCAATTCCCTTTCAATATAACTATAATAACATATATTGTCTTCAGTTTAGAAGTTGATACACTTATCAAATCATCTCGATATATCAACTCAAGTTTGTTCAGATAACTGCTTCCAACTATTTGCAAAGTTTTGAGAAACTGATCAGGATTGCCCATTTCATGGCAAGTCAGTTGTAGTGATTGTCGTCGATTTGTAATTATCGGCATGGATGCATGTCTTGCAAAACGATGATTATGTAAAGTTCGCTTGTGTTCTAATAGAATATTGATCGGACATTTATAGATAATGAATGGACTTCTTTTGACAAAAGATACTCCATCATCGTCCAAAAACAAAGTTTCATCTACATAATAATCAATATTGTCAAAAGACCATTCACCATTGGAACTGAATGGACTTATTCGCCATGCCTCTTCAATCTCTTTGGGGAAAACAAAATGAAAAGTAGAGATTTTTTTAGAGAGGGTAAATATTGAGAATCACAGACTTGTTGAAATCTGCTAAGATGATCTAGTGCTGCAAAAAAAAAGAAAAATGAATATTTTCATCTTGGAAAAATATATTCAAAGCAAATGCGTTCAGTTTTCTTAAAATATTTCCAGTGAATGAGAACATATGTTTCCATGCTGCAAATATCAATAAAATATTTGTACAAATGTCTCATCAAAATTGTTCAAATCTAAATTTTATCTGATGATCTATTCTATCATATCAAATGAAATTTAATAATAATAGTCGAAGTGAAAAGTCTAAATTGCTTTAAGTTAATGATAACTTACTATGATCATATAAATCAATAAGTATGAATTTTTCAAGTAAAGACATAGTTAATGAATTCATTAATATAATAAGCTCATTGAGAAATATATAACGTAAAAATAATGATTTTAATCGAGTACCATCAACTATTTCCTTTAATTGATTTTTATCAAATGAAATATTTGATATTGATTTATTTTCATGCTCTGGCAAAATAATATATATTTCCTCATTATTAATATTTAAATGTTCAATTGACGGCAAAGCATCATTTAGAGAAAAAAAAACATTATTTCGTTTGAATGTTTAATACTTAAACTTAATTCTATTGTATTTGGCCAGCATAATCGTTTCATCTTTAAATCTTCTATTACATCATTTGAATAAAATTCATAACCTATAGAATAGAGAAATCTAATAAGAATATAGCAAAAAATCTATCATCGTAGCTAACCTCATATTATCAACCAGAACAAGCACATCTCACGATGTAGAACGGGGATAGGGAGTCCTAGCGACCAACCAGGGCTCTCCATGTTCTTCAGGAGTGAGGAGGCCTAAAATTTCGCCGACAGTCGTACGCGAATAGTCTGGCAGCAAAAATACATCTGTAAGAATTTGGTAGACGACTCTTGGATAGATGTTCAACACTTTCGCAGACACCCCATGTAAAGTGTCGGGAACTAGCACCCGTCCCTCACATCGAGAGGGATGAGTGTGGATGTGGGTGTGGGTGTAGGGTGTGGGTGAGGGTGTGGGGTGGATGTGGATATATGAATGATTACGTTATCCACACCCACACCCACATCCACACCCTTGAATAAACGAATGCATTAGAAAAAAAAGCCCACATATATACCTGATATACAATGTTTTATAACTTGCACGTGTATGTGATAAGATAAGATTCTTTTATTTTTAGAATAAAAAGAGTAAAGTATTTCTTTTTTCTCCATTAAAACATGGAGTCGATACTATCTAAGATACAAATCATTATATTTCAACAAGACCATATCAATCTATTCACTTACTTCGTTTATAGCTGCCTTTTTAGCATTATTTGCATCGTATTCATTTCTTATGCACCATATATTCGATGTATGTTCAACAGATTTCTTCGAATACAAATTCGGAAAAATTTAACAGATCGATATATACGACCAGGAGACAATGATGCATTTGCCTCTTACTATCGAGATTCACTTTGTAATCTGCAGAAGATTAATAATGATCTGTTGAGAAATATTCTTAAAAACAATCAATCATGTGCCTTTTTCACAGATCGATCGATTTCATTTCCATCTTCACATATTTCTTCACCATTTTCAAACGAAGAACAAGAAAATTTATTCATTAATGAATTTCAACAAAAACTTCCATTGACTACATATGAAAATTATCGTGATTACGTCGATCGAATGATGAATGATGGAGAGAAAAACTTGCTCTCTTCCGATAGAATCGTCTATTTTGCTACTAGTTCTGGAACTACTGGAAAGCAAAAATTGCTTCCCATAACTCAACGAATGTTAAAACGAATGATGATGATATTTTGTATCGGATATGCTGCTATATATAGATCACTTCCTATATCATCATATCCTGCTGCTGACCGACGATTGTTCGCTTACCAAACAGGCAAAAGATCAAACATGTTTTTAAGATCAAAAGATGGTACGCCGATAGGCCCTATAAGTCAATGCATGTCAAGTGTTAAACTTATTCCTGGAATGAAAACACTTGGATCTGCTGGTAATGTTACGGATCTTACATTAATCGAAGGCATTTCGGATTATGAAACAAGTACATTTATTCAATTAGTTTTTGCATTGACAGTTCCGAATCTTTCATCTTATTCAATACCATTCGCAACAGCATTTCTTCATAGTATAAAATTAATTGAAACTCATTTTGAAGAAATGTGTCTTTGCATATCTGATACGGATTTCTATCATAGTTCTCTTGTTCGTAAGAATATTCGTGATACAAAATTTCGAACTAATTTGAATCAAGCTTTAGAAAATTTATCTTTGGAATATGGTGGATTGTCCTATCGATCGGAACGAGTTCACCAAATTCGAATAGAATGTCTCAAAAAAAATACACCGGGTATACTTCATCGTATTTGGCCACAACTAGGTTTTGCATCTACTGCAATAGGAAGTTCGTTTGCCGTGTACAAGAAAGAAATCGAATTTTATTGTGGAGAACAATTACCTCTAATTAATTTAGCAGTCTATCTTTCAAGTGAGGGCTTTTTTGGAGTCTTGGCGAGCATTCATACAGATGAATATTTTCTAACACCCTCAACAGCATTTTTCGAATTTATTAAAGAAGAAGACATCAATCAGGTATGTTGTTTATGTAACGGATTGATCGATCATACACTTATGGTTGTGAGCAGTTCCTCTTCATATCGTCGATATCTTCTTTCTATTCTTCTTTTCCTCTGCTTCTCTCCTTCACATACACATAAATATAAATACATCTGTTTGTCTATTGTTCATCAGTCATTCTTGACTCGATCCTCCTTCCATTTCTTCTCCACTCTCTTTGTGCTATATTTCTTCTATGAATATATAAAAGAATAAACTACAAACAACCAAAAACCGTTACAGTTTAGATTTTCTATATAATCAGTTTGATTCTACAATTGATATTAAAATCTTTAATGAGAAAATCAAGATGATCTTCTTGTATAGGTCCACAAGATATTAAAGTTATCTCTGTCTAACTTATCCTTATAACTGTAAGCAATCTTTATGCCCTTAGTTATTTTACTTCCTTTAGTTCCTGTCGTCGCTTTAACCCCTTTAGTAGCTTTAGTACCTGTGAGTTATAAGAGGCCTAAAGGCATCACAGGGACTAAAGTGGTAAAGATTGCTTATGGTTGTAAAGAAAAGTTAGACCAGAATAAGATTAATTTTTTGTAGATCTCTCTCTCTTCTTTAACTTGTCGAAACAAAATGAGAGCATCAATTTTGATACGGAAGAAATCAGAATTTTGAATCTTCTACGATTTTTTTTTGAAATTAAGATGTTTTACAAGGGAACCATTCGAAACGATATCTCGCTTTTGGATCAATGGTATTATTTGATTTAGATGAACAAGTTTTGTTGAAATCTTCCTGTGGGACTCTGATTTTCTAGCAAAACCATATTTTCGAACTTTTCGCACATATCGAAATTAAAAGCTGGTTTTGTTTCGTTCTTGCTGTGTGCAAATTTCCATGCTAAAGTTCTAAAATATGATTCTGACAGAAAACCAGGGTCCTACAGAAAGTTTTCTGTAAAGATTTTCTATTCCAGTCAAATAATAACATCAATTCATATTGCCTCGAACTTTTCTTAATCTACAAGTCTGCTACTTATAGGTAACTTGCAGGATCAAAAGCAGTGAATTACGTAATCCAAACAGTTTTCTCGTTGGAGTCTTCAAGTTTAACTATTTGTCTAAATTTGTAATCAATTCGAAATTTCCAATCTAAGAACTTCACTAATCCATCGTTAGACATGTTGTCATGTTTCTTATGATAGGATTCTAACGTAAGTATGAAGCTCTTGATTATGTTTACAATTAAATAATTTTCATTCTGTTGTAAAATATTATCATAGAAATTATACTGAAATCTAAGTTTCCTAAAATGCTTTATTTTGTTGCTCTTAAGGCTCAACCAAAAACTTTGCTCATCTCAGAAATCGAACCTGGACAAAGATATGAATTAGTCTGCACTACAGATTCTGGATTGGTTCGCTATCGATTGGGAGATGTAGTCTATTGTACAAGATATCTTTCCCAAGCAGACAATACAGTTCCATTACCATTTGAACAAGAAAAAATACCACGTATACCTCTCGTTTCGATTGCATATCGTGTCGGAAACCTTATCAGTATAACAGGAGAGAATACGACTGAACAACATGTGATGGATGCACTTCAACGAACTGTTCAGATATGGAAACAACAAGAAATAAATGTCGACATTTATGATTTTACATTATATCCGAAACTAGATACATTTCCATCTCGATATGTTATGTTCTTAGAGTTATTTAACAATAACTCTCAATCAGAAAACAAAATTATTGATCGGCAACAGTGCATACTGTTGAATGACGCCATGTCTGAAATTGAACGACAACTTTGCGAAGCAAATGACATCTATAAAGATCAACGTAATGCCGGAAAAATTGGTTCACTCATTTGTATTCTTGTTCGAAAAGGAACATTCTCGATCTTTTTAAACAAAATATTAGTGACCACTAATATTAGCCCAACACAAGTCAAACCCCATCGATTGTTGAAGAATACACAACATATTCAATTCTTCTATGATAACAAAATAGATGCAGCGTTGTTTTCATAATTATTTTCTTCGTCATAAAAGAGAGAATTAAGATCATAATCAACAGTTAACATTCTTCTTTGAATTTTCGTGTCATTTAATTTTTTCTTTCCATCAATAAAAAAGTTATCTTGGATTTGGTTGTGGTATTTCTACGGGTGTGGGTGGGTGTGGGTGTGGGTGTGGGTGTGGGGTGCACAGTGGGCAACTTTCATGAAGCAGGCGGACATGTAACTATTGTGCTCTGAAACGGGTTGCCATTACTCAGAAATGTTTGTATATTACTTAGAAAATCGAATTTACGAAAACAAAGCATTTTTTGAAAAAAAAAATTTTCGGGGTGAAACACTTGAGGGGAACCCTTGCCCAGATTTCCGAAAAACTTTTTTTGGTAGAAAATGTCTTGTGTCATACATCATCCGATGCAGTTTTGCTCGCTGATTCCGAATATCATATTCATTTTGCGGTACAATGCTATCGGAATCGAGAAAATAGGAATTGGGTGTGGGTGTGTGGGTGGGTGGTGTGGGTGTGGGATATGGGTGTGCGGGTGTGGTGTGAGTGGGGTGTGGCTGTGAGGGTGTGGCTGTGGCTGTGGGTGTGGGTGTGATGAGAAAATCAATAAACACACACACCCACACCCTCCAAGTAGATCTCGACGAGCTCTATCCAATGCATACCTATTGAGCTCTATTCCATGCTTCCTCGGTCTACAAATCAGTCAAACCGCACCCCGATCCTAATGCATTTTGCAAAACCCATCGCGTCCGCTCGCAAGACCTTTCCAACTCAGAGAATCAACTTTTCAACGGGATCGTGAGAAGCTCTATCCAATGCATACCTTTTTAGCCCGGTTTTGTGCTTCCTTCATTTAGAAAGCGATCAATGGAAGTCCCGAGCCTCACAATTTTTGTGAAACATGTCGCGAGTCTGCTCAAAGATCTTTCTAACTCAGTGGTCGACCTTTACACCTAGATCTTGACTACCTTCATCTTTTTCATTGTTTTCATGCTTGCGCCCATGCTTTTTTGATAGGGGAAATCGTCGAAAGTCTCAGAAAGCACGTCATTTTGCTGAAGTTTCGTGGGTTTTAGCCAGGCTCCGCTTCTGACAATATTTTTGTAAGGATGTAGGTGTGTGTGTAGATGAACGATTGAGAGCCACCACACCCACACCCTTCTTATTTATATGCCTCAACTTCATACGTTCATCTGTTATATTAGTACAGAAACTGCAATGTGTAACTTAAATCATTGTAAATCTCTTGATAAGATTCAACAAACACTTACAAACATCAAATATGGACAAACTTCGTGTATCATAGATTATTCCAACATGGATAAAGCTATATGTCATATTTATTCTCTACTATTCAGATTTACTCGTCTGGAAAATATTGGTTCCAATGAGACATGAATACGACGCAATTGCTCGAAAGTAAAACAAATTAATTATCGGAGGATTAAAATTTTCAAAAGATGTTTATGAATATTTTCCTTCATTGTACATTCAATTCTATGTTGTTGACTTGAATAAAAATAAATCATGTTAGAAATTTTATATTATGATAATAAAAGAAACAACAATTATCGAATATTGCCGTGTAACAGACATTTCCGTTGGAAAATTCTTCAGATTATTCTATTTGTTTGTATTTATATGTAAAATTATGTAGTGAAATGACAATTAGAAAGAGAAAATTATTATTGAGAATAAAGTTTATAGAAATCAAAAAGTTGTTTATGTTGGAAGATCAGTCATAGACATGTAACAAATGATAGGATCACTGTAAGTTGTATTGAAATGATAACAAGAGACAGAATATCTAAATAGCTGCTATATTTGATCAACCAGAATATTAAAAAACTATCATCTTCAAACACTTTATGAGTGTCCATTTTTTTCTAGATCAATTTCGACAAATAAATATGTAATCGTATCCTATAGATGTGAAATCTCTATGAACCTTAGGTTTTTTTTGTGAGTTCAGCCAGATCCCACAACGCTGTTCTTTTTGTTTTCTGCTATGTTGATACTTATCCTTTTCTGAATGATCTCCTGTCTAATTGCTAGCTTCTAATAATGCACATAGCCCATATGAAGTTTTGCGAATATGTTTTAAAGAAAAAACTTCAAGAATGGATCAACATGGACTACATAAGAGCTTTAACGTTATACAGATAATTTTTACTCTTGTCAGACCTTGTCACTATCGTTTCTGAATGATTCGTTATGGTAATTCGAATATTTTTTCCGTGCTTGTCTCACAGATTTTGTTACTGTTTGATGGACACACTTTTAATATTGCTTTTACTCCTAAAGATCCTATGAAAAGAATACTTTTCCGATTAAAATTCGATAAATAAATGAATATGATAAATCTAAGCAAGAAGAGCTAAAACAGCTCATTTGGTACATTAATTTGATGATATTCTAATCATTGTAAAACATAAAAATAAACAAGCAAAAAATTCTTCTCATTATAGAGAAGACTATGATGAATGTATTCGATTCTTTCATGTCTAGAGTAAATCAAGCAAAATATAAATCAAGTTCCTCTTATCCGTTTGTGTGTGAGTTCGACTGAACACACAAATTATCTTTTGTGTGATCAAATGTAAACAGCATCCAAAGGTTAATATATCTTCAACTTTTGCTTAAAAAAAACCATTCTAATCTTGGCTTCAATTATAGACTGAGCTATGTTCTTGTTGATAGATCATAGGTATCCTCATAGAGCACTATGACTTTCATGTTCATCTGTCTCTTGAGTTTTTATCAATGTCTATTCTATTAAAGTGAATATCTGTATTGGGATGTTTAACTAAATCACCTCTAGTTTTCTCTGATGGTCTCTGCAACATGGGTTTCTTAAGCTTACATATTATTCCTCTCGTTCTATCTGTCTTTTTATCCCATACGTAGAGTTTGTTGAATATATATACTTTCTCATTGCAAGATGAATGATTATTGTTTATGGTTTCTTTTCTTTCTCTTTTTTCTTCTCCAGAAATTTTATCTTAAACTCGATAGATCGATTGATCGATCAACAATATGCGTTATAGATTTTTACATAAGAGTATTCTGTTCTCTTTTTGTTGGAATTTATTTTTTATGATGAGATAAGAAAAGGTTTTTATATATGACAGGTAAAGAAAATAACACTAAAACTAATGTAAATATTGAAATAATGTATATTCAGGTGATTGGAGAATTAGTGCTGAAGAACGAACTAAGTACAAAACATACGTTCAACAATGTTGTCCAATACAAGCCTATGTTATGGGCATCAATTTGAAGAAAATTTTTAATGATGAATTTATTTTTTTTCTTAGTTGGTTTTCTAAGGTGAACAAGCACGAAATTTTTTGTTAAATCAGGTTTACATGCAGATATTCTTCGAAAAATTGGGTAAATGTAATCTTTAATGGTTTCAAAAAAAAAACCAGTCATTTATTTTTGTTCTTCTAGGAATTTTGCTGGTATAACAGTCGATAGTCGTTTAGATGAACGAGAATTTGCTATTACTTGTCATTTAATCTCATCTCATATAAAACAAAAAAAAAATATTTTTTTTTATTTAATTTGAGTTGATGGTTTTAAAAAGAAGCACTACTTCCTTCAACACTTCCACCAACTCTTCTTACTATCATCATTAAACATTAAGATGTTTGGTTTTTTTCTCTCAGATATGAAAAAAAAACATTGTAGTGAATTTATTCATATTAGGAAAAAATTCAATGATCAAAGCAGTAAGATTGAAATACATATACTACGATTCTTAATCAGTAGAATGCTTTATTAACCAATAGGGTGTGCGTTTAGTTATGAGTCTTCATTCCACCCACACCCTGTAGGACTAAAATGTGAAACACGGTTCAGATGCTATTATTAATAACGGCGAGACTACTTTGTTATATCTATTTTAGGGCACATGTCTTCATCATCGTTTTACTTAATCGTTCAAAAATACAATAAAGAGTCAAAATTTCTAGCCATATGCTTCGGCACACTTTTTAGATCGTATGTCAAAAAAAGATTCATTCGAACTGCTTGCGCCATTGACATTCTTTTTACCACTGAACTTGTATAAGTCTATATTTAAAGTTTTTTTAAAACAAATACATTTTTTTCATTATAACTCGCTGTTTTTTTACAATATTCATGACTTTGAGCTGTGTCTTAATAAATAGTTTTTTTGTTTATCTGTTTATATTATTTAGTTTTACTTGAAATTTTAAATTATACTATTGAAAATTCAATTTATTTAAAATATCCATTATTCACTTTACATATGAATAATAAACTTTCAAAGAAAGTCCCGTAATAAATTAATCATTTGTAAGTCGAGATCATGCGTCATATGTAGGTTCTAATAAACTATAAATATAATGAAAAGAATTTCAGTTTTTAGCTGTTTACTTAAAAACCTTGCAGTTTTTAAATGAACAACATGGTAGTCCTTAGAACCTTTGATTTGTTTCTATCCTGAAATAAGAACATCGAAAGTTGTTGGTGTATATAAAATATTGTGAATATGGCCTGTCTTTGTGGAAAGTTTCAGATCAAGATTCGCAAATCAATATCTCTGGTTTTAGTGAGGAAATCACGGCCATCAATTAAGGACTCATTTTTTTTTAACTAGCTATTAATAGTTAATCACATCTGCTTTGATGAATCAATGCTACGACTTTATTTAATTATCATTTCACTAATATAAATGACTCATATCTGCAAGTTTTCTTAAGAGAACCCTCTGTCTTTCCAACTGAAAATAGTTTCGTTTTTCTTTGATTTTCTGCATTATATACAATTCGAAATATTCTCTATCTACTAGACGCATATTACAAGAATTAATCTATAGCTAAACAACGTAAAACATCAAAAAAATAAGTATTTCTTTGACAAAAAAAGCAAATTTTAAAATCGTCCACGCTTTGTTTCGAAATATGACATAGTGCTAGTATTTATGAAGATTCATAAAAAAAAAATTTCGACTCAAAAAAAGACATGCATTCATG